AATAACGCAGAGCAGTGACAGGGTTGTGCTTGGCGCCAAAAGCAGGTTGCCAAGGCGAAGCTGAGGTAGGATTACGTCTTTTGGCAGCTAAGAAATTATGACATAAAGTTAGTTTAAAACAAAACAAAACAACCTCCATAAATTAGACTACTATTCTCTTTTCAAAATTTAGCCAGTGGTGGGATTTATCTTTCCCCTTTCCCCCCCCTCTCTGATCAAGTGGAAGCCAAATTTAACAGCTAGATCTTATCTCCCAGGAGAGAGTGGGGTTAACAGTATTAAGCAGGGTCTCCTGGCCACAGGCGAGGGATCTAAGGGCCTCTCACCATTACCAGATAAGTAAGTGCTTAATCTTTGCCCCGATGTTAACAAAAACTCCAAACAAAATAAAAATAGAAACAATCTTGGGCCCAAAGCACGGGCTGAAATGTGTGCCTGTGGCCACTGTTCCCCTGGGCCCTTTGTGGACGGATTCCTGCCAAAGTCTGACGAAAATAAGCAAACAGTGTAAAAAAGTGAAGCTGAACAAGGAGCCTCAGAAGGCTTCAACTGAGCAGTGATGGCACCCGGAGAAGACAGAGTCCCACAGGCAAACAGCAAGGGACGACCAGGCCCCAGGGTGTACTGGGAGGAGCCCCAGTGTAGGTCAGAGACGTGGCAGGGAGCCTCCTGCCTGAGCTCCACCTCAAAGCTGAAATCCTGGGATGGGGAAAACAAAGATATGATCCATGGGGCCACGGGGAGGTCCTGGATGGGTCAAGCCAGCTCCATCATCCATCAGCGTTCACATTAGGAAATTAGGACACATTAATAACACACTGAAATCTCAGTCGGGCAGCGGACAGGGGGGACTATAAAATGGTTCTGTAGAAACAGACACGGCCCATCTTGATGTCACTTATGTGGCGTGCAAGTAATATCCTACAAGAGAACATGGGAAGAGGTTCAGGAATGACAGCTGGGGACCCCGTGCAGTGTCTGGACAGCACTCAGGACCTGGGAATAGTAAGCTGTTTATACTGAAAATGAGGAGGGGAAAACCCTCTACCACTCGCCAGGGAAGCCAGGGGAACAACAATCTCACAGAAGAAGCCGGCAGGGAAATTAAAGCCCTGGCCCGAGAGTGTTCTCAGAATTTAAAACCAGGCTTGGAAAGAAGCTAAAGGAAGCGTGAGGCTCCTGAGGCCAATGACAGAAACTGTGAGATGAAGTCTTTGAAAGATACTCTAGCGCTGAGCTACCATCAAGTTACTAACAAATTCTGACACAAAGTAACCATGGGATTCAGCTGCATGTTACTTTAAGAGAAAACCAGATGGCTCTGCCACCACTTGGGCAGAACCCCCTGAGTCACAGTTGCCCCCCAGTGAATCACTGCTCCACAGCAGACGGAGGACTCCAGGAGTCTGTCCCATGGGGTCCACTGTGCTACTAAAGGGGTGTGACACATGCTTCGCAGTAGGACGGTTCATTTACTCCCCCCTCCTTCAGTAAACACCGAGCATCTCCACACACAGGCAAAGTGCTAGGCTTGGGATCTAACAGCAGAGGAAGCCACACTTGCTACTCTTATGGGCCAGGCATGCACGGAACCCAAGACACAAATGCAAAACCTCAGACATGTACCATGTGGGTGTGAACAAAGGCTAAGAGTCTGTGACAGAGAAATGACCCAAAAAAAGGCCAAGGTCTCCAGGACGAGTAGAGTTCTTCACCAGCTGTAGGCCAGGCCGATGTGCATATGCATGTGTGTGTATATGTATTTGTGTGTATGTACATGCATGCCCGCGTACCAAGTGTATGCCTTGGGCCCTCAGAGGCAGAAGACAGCACCAGATCTCCTGGGGCTGTAGTTACAGGTGACAGATCTGGGAAAATGTGCTCTGCAGCTCAGTTGGAAAGCAGGAAGGGCCCAGGGTGCCTCCTGAGAGAAGACGGAGGCCACTGGAGTAAGCCTGCAGCAGACAAGAACAAGGTGAGACAAAAGGGGGACCAGTCTTCACCTTTGGGAGCAGAACTCTGGTTTCTCATCCTTTTGTTTTGGGTGTACCTGGGACCAAACCCAGGGCCTCGTGTGGGGAAGGCAAGCTCTGCACTCTAGGTTTTAGGACCCAGGTGAAGAGGAAGAGCCTACAGATGCAGCAGGGGTGCAGTCTGCAGGACGAGCAGACGCAGCAGACAGTAATAACAGGATCCCTTTTCTGGAGCAGCAGATGGACGATCCCATGTGGTGCACAATGTACTGTGAACACAGCGAGAGGCTGTGCTAGGTGAGGATTAAAGCTGGGCTCTATACCCGCTGTTCCCACCTTGGCTTTGAAGGCTGGGCCATCCTTAAGTGAGTTTGCCCACAGGCCCTCAACTTCCCCATTTTAAGTAGTGAGAATATTATCTGCCTGGATCCCAGGGGTGTTGGGAGACGGTGGACGAGCTCCTGGGGTAGTGACAGCATCTGGTATTGGATCAGCCAACAAGGACCCGCTAACCGGAGAATCACTGGACGAACGGCATAGAGAATGGTCTTTACAGAAGCCCCAAAGTTGACAGTCTTGGAATTGTATTCTAAGCTGAGCGTAAACCCACGGATTAAAGATCAGTGGTCAATGTTGGCTTGGGTCAGCAGAGAGCTTACCATAAGCCTTTCTGAAATAACCTGTAATTATGAGCTCTGGAGACGGAAACCTGCCTGTCCTTGTTAGCACACGTTAGAATAGAAGGCCTGAAATGCAGCGGCCTTTAAATTGGCTTTTCTGCGAATTTTCTCCCCACTCACCTGAGCACAACCACCCTCCAAAACCCAACTCAAGTGCCACCTCCTTTCTAGCCACATCCATCAGAACCATCTCCTGACCACACCCTGGCGGCAGGTTCCTATTGTTACCGAGTTTTCTGCAGAGAAGAGAATAACCACACCACCACAGTGTGTGCCATGCACATTTTCATAAGAAGGAAGCTGGCTGGGAGCTTTGATAGAGGAGGCACCTGGGAGGATGTTACTCAGGGAGAGAAGGGAAGGAAGCAAACATGAGAATGAGAACATGAATATAGTCATGTGTGCATGTATGCGTGCACACGTGTGTGTTTGTGTGTGTGTGTGTGTAGGGGGCTAGAAAGAAAGGGAAGGGTAACATGCCGTCTGTGTGCATCCCAGCTGAGGAGCCAGGCCTTATGTAAGGGACCTAGCATCCAGTTTCCTGAACTCCAACCTTCTCCTCTGCGATTTATCACTGAACAGAGTGACTTGTACCTGGGACTTTCAACACTCCTGGGTTGATCTGAGGTATGGCAAGTCTAAGGCATGCTAGACTTAGAAGGCTTCTTGTGAAGAAAAGCAAGGTAAAATTATTTTTAATCTATCTAAGAGGCTGGAGTGATGGCTCACGGGTTAAGAGCACTTGTTGCTCTTGTCTTTGGTTCCTATGGCTTAGAACTGCCTGCAACTCCAGCTCTGGGGATCTAGCGCCCTCTTCTGGCCTGCGCAGGAACCTGAACATGTGGTGCACATATGAATGTTCAGGCACACACACACACACACACACACACACACGTAAATCTTTTAAAAATAACTCTAATGAGGATATGTTGTATTATTTTAGCTAATCTGGATTTTATTTGCATTAAATCAAATACATTAAATATTAACTTACCCGTTTCCTTTCTTCCTGCTAAAATGTGGTTGCCAGGGAATGCGTGCATTCGTCACTCAAGCTACGGACGGACCAAGTCCTGACACGGGGGCTGGGAAATGGACGGACCAAGACCTGACACGGGGGCCAGGAAATGGACGGACCAAGACCTGACACGGGGGCCAGGAAATGGACGGACCAAGTCCTGACACGGGGGCCAGGAAATGGACGGACCAAGTCCTGACAAGGGGGCCGGGAAATGGACGGACCAAGACCTGACACGGGGG